AAATGCACAAGTTGCGTCTCGACAAACCCTGCCCAACTCTATTTGAGCCATCGACTTCCAACACGAGCTTTCCGGAGCTTGATGACCACCTGCTAGCATCGCAGTCGGATCTTTCAGCATGGTTGTTGTTCGTGTCATGTGAACCACGGAGGCTTCACGGCAGAGACATTTCTCGAGGTCGTAACTTACAACAACCTGACAACTGCGAGGATTGCGAGGCCGTCCCGGGGATGACAGGAGCTTGTCTGCTGAAAGAGGACACAGCACAATCAACTGGCAGCAAAAGCCGAGGCAGAATTCCACCCGAAGTTCTATGAGGGTCATTTTGGGGATCCTTTAACAGGGTTCCCTCAAGGGATCCTCGAGAGGGAACCCTTACAGTCCGTGTAATGGTTCTGCAATGCCTTCCATGACTGCTCGCAACGAGCAACGGATACCTATCAAATGATACTCCGTCGCAAACCTTCAAACAGCACGCTCTACACCAAGCCACTGCAACGTCAACCTTCACACCAAAGCCGACCTTATACTTTGCACAAACATGTCGGGCTAGAGCACAGCTTCATCTTCTTTAATATAAGGACCATATCATTCGAGTAGCTTTGGGGGGTTTTGTCAAAGTTTAAGAAACTTAGGTACGTACTACATCAAACATATGACTAACTAACGGTTAAGGGTTCTATGTTACAGGGTCTCCGCTTCTCATTCTCCGCATCACGACTACGACTGGCGCAAGGCGCGAATAGCCTCACTGTGATGATCTCCTACCCAAAAAATTCATGGGGCTGTCCCACTGCAACTCTGCCTTCCAGCTATAGATGGGGGTTTCCGAAAATAGGGGACCCTAAAATAGTACCCTTAATGCTAGGGATCCTTATTATAAGGACCCCAAAATAAGGTATCCATATAATTTGCGGAAACTCCCAGATGTTGCTTCAACAAAACTACAAATAATCAGTGCATCGAACCCAGAGAACCCAATACCCCTTAATTAAGGAATATACCCTAAATCATACTATTTAAGGCCTCTATAATTTAAGGGTATATTCCTTAATTAAGGGGAGGAAATATACCCTAAACCATAATATGAAGGCCTCTATAACTCAAGGTATATTCCTTAATTAATAGGGGTAACTAAGGGGTGTTGGGATCTCTGGGGGCTCAGCACTGGGTCTGGCAGCGAAGCTGGTGGACGCGGGATACCGGGGCTCTGGGCTGGAGGATTCCCAGAGCCTCCAAAACCCCTTAATTAAGGAATATACCTTAAATCATATAACTCCATATACCTTATATAATAATAGGATCTCTTATATGATTTAAGGTATATTCCTTAATTAAGGGGTTTTGGAGGCTCTGGGTTTCCAGGCTTTTGGAGTTTACCTTAGGTACGGCCCCCGTGCAGTAAGAGTCTATAATAGGGCTACTATTAAGGTCCTATTCAACTATTACTGAGTGGGGGCCGTACCTGAAGTTTACCCTGAGGGTCCGAAGGACCCAATAATTAGGTACTCGGTTGAAGGATGGTAGCTATGTAGGTTACGATTTTGGGGATTACTATGTTGGGGAGTATATGATAGTGAGGTACTTGGACCCTTAGGGTTTAGGGAACTCCAAGCATCATGCCAACAACCAACTACGTGCGGTTGCTCGCCGTGTCATCTGCCTTCCACGGCCACGCAACAAATCAATCTTTCCGTAGAAATACCACGGATTATGAGTCGCCCAACCCTAAAGAGGCTAAACCTGACCTGCACTGCCACTGCATACGACAGAAGACCGCCAACAGCAGGCTTCACACAGCCTGGCCTGCTCTAAACCCTATAAACCCTCAGCTGCTTAACCATAAACCGCAAACCCTTTAAGCGCAAACCTTGCGCCCTGAAACCCCGACACCTTCCAAATTATGTAGAGACATAAATGGTTATCATAACCTCAAAAAGGCTCAAGGTTACACACCATACGCCCAAACCCTAAACCCCTAAACCCTTAAACCCTACACCATAAACTGCCATAAACCCAGGATTTGCGAAGCCTGGTCTGCTTTGATCGTCCTCTTGGAAGCTTCCACATCGATCGGCTGACAGAGGTTTGGCACTTTGTACCTCGTGGTTTCAGGTTGAGGGTTTGGGGTTTAGGGCTTGCTTATTGCTTAGCTGTATCTCGTGGTTTAACGCTGAAGGTTTTAGGCTTCGTTTAGCGGGTTTGTGGGTAAGGTTCAAGGTAGCTTAGAGACTTGGTACATGATCTCTAAGCCCCAAAGCCCTGCACCCGAAACCTTAAACCCAACAGGGCTGAAATTGTTTTGGACAGTTCGGCCGTTGGGTCAGGTAGCCGCTTCCCAGACCCCGTGGAGGATCCAGAAAGTAGATCCCCTAATTTGGGGCCCCATACTACTAAGGGTACTTTATAGGAACCCCCATTCATCTACTTTTTGGATCCTCCCGGGGGTCTGGGTTTTGAGCTGCCAACCGATGCCTGAACCGCCCATACAATCCACACCCAGGCCCAGCTCCGAGCCCATCTTGCTAAGTGGAGTCTCTTGCAACCCTAACCCCAAGGGTCCAAAGGACCCAATAATTAGGTACTCGGCTTTATGATAGTAGCTATGTAGGTTTGGATTTTGGAGAGTATATGATTATTGGGTACTTGGACCCTTGGGGTAATCGATACCTTGTTTGGCAGCTGGGCTCTTTTGCCACTGGACTCAAGTCTAGCCAGTCTACGACCCACAATCGTCTTGACGAAACGCTAAGCCCTACACCCCTTTTCTAAGCAACCCTACACCCCTAAGCCCAAAACCCTCGAAATGTATGTCTTTTCGGCGGCAGCAGGCAAGCAGAACTCCTGTTCCAGGTCTCGGGCCAGTGGCGCTTGCCATCCGTCTGGAAGACGAGTAGCACACCAATCTCCCTGTTTCAGAGGCCGCTGCTCAAAGGGTTTAGGATTTAGGGGTTTAGGCCCGGTAATTAAGGAGTGCAGCTAGGCTTAGCTAACAACCAAGATCTCTCCACCAATGTGTAGTATAGTTGAAATTCATTGGTTTTGGAGTCTCTGGGCACGTCGCAAACATCCCGGGTTTCACCACAAACTGGGACAAGCCCAGGTCAGGCAACGAGTGCCCAAACATACGAACCTGAAAGACTACACAAAATATTCCTTCTGCTGGTTTCATGTACATGATAAATGGGCCTTTAATATGCCCTGAAACCTTGTTCTACTTCTTGATGGCCTCCAGATTCTAGGATCCTTTTGACAGGATCCTTATAGCAACCCTCATGGAAACCCAAGGAACCCTATGCTAACCATTATGGCCCCTATCCTAGACTGGGCCCTAAGTCCCTTGAGCCCGAGATCCCAAATCCAGGCAGCCCTTTGACCTAAACCCTACGAGGGGTTAAAACCTAAATCCTAGAGGGGTTTTAGGGTTTTCGGTATTAATCCTAAACCCTATAAGGTTTTAGGCTGTTTTAGGGCTTTCGGTGCTAATCCTAAACCCTAGAAGGGTTCAGGGCTTCTGGTACCTGTACTCCCGCTAACCCTGAACGCCTTTAAACACTCAACCCTACGAGTACCAGCCTGAAGTGGACTTGCACATCTTCTTCTTTCAGCTTCCCGGCCTCGCGAAGCTTACCTACTTGTCGGGTATCATGGGGAAATAAAGGTTAACCTTTTTGGTTATATAGGGATTATATAGGGACTATACTACCCGAAAAGGTTAAAGGCTACCTACTTGACTACTAGGCTTATCTACACGGCCTCAGCCAAGCACTTGTCCGAGCTCTTTGGAAGATGTGTTGTGGTTTGTTGTTGGTTGAAATCCAAAAGCTGCAAAAAGAAGCTGCCGAAGGATGCAGTTGAGGCTTGCTCTGGGTTCAGCTATCTATAACTCCGCTTTCGGATGATTGAGTTCCTTGCGAAATCTTGTTTAGGCCCTCAGCGCCAGATTGCAATTGGTCTAAACCCTGGTCCCACCGAGAGCCCTTCCTACTCCAAAGCACTGGCGACATCGGTACCTGAGGGGAAACTGTACCGACTCACCTATCCAAGCGCAGCTGAAAATCGACAGCCTGTGTTCCCCTAAGCCCTAAAAATGAGGCTTTGGGTTTGGCCTCTGGTTTTTCTTGGCCAGAGAGTTGCAACTCTCCGCGGGAGGGTTCTTTACATAAGAGACTGCCTCGATTGCAAGTCGGGCTGAAGAAGAATCATGGGGAGTTTTCTCTGACTAAGGACTGCCAGCAACTGTCACTGCGTTAGGGTTTAGGGCTTGGGGTTTTAAGCTGAATGCAGAATGACCTCAAAGGATCTAAAATCATTTAAACTCAAAGCACTTCTGCCAAAACCGGGGCCCTTCGAAGCCCTGAAAGCCTTAAGACTCTAAACATCTCAAAACCCTGGCATGTCGCTGCGGACGCAGGTTTTTGATGACTCGCCTTTGCGCTCTTCGAGATCTTCGGTCTTTCGCTCAGACTTGCTACTTGCACGGGGTTGGGCTTAGAGCTCTGAGTTGCTGCCCCGGGGAAGGCCCCAGTAAGTGAGGTCCCGTCCCTTCAAAGGGTTACTATAAGGGTACTATAAGGGCTCCTTTAAAGGGCTCTATAAGAGCTCTGAACTACGTATGTCTAAACATGCCTAAACCCTAAACCCATCCTCTGCTTTCCTCCATGGGTTGCCCCCTGGAAGGCCCAAGTAAACCAAGACCTGGCATACGTAGAGCTTGCCTTGCGACTTACAACTACAACTACCACATCGTCACATCATCTGAAGACCCAAGCCCTAAACCCTAAGTCCTCTTCACTAAAGCCCTAAACCTTAAGTCCTCTTCAATAAAGCCCTAAACCCTAAGTCCTCTTCAATAAAGCCCTAAACCCTAAGTCCTCTTCACTAAACAGACTTAAACCTGACCTATATTGTCTACCCACCTTAATCCCGAGACCCGCAATCCGAAACCCTTGTTTTTAGCCCTGAAACCCCATGAGGTGCGTTGAATTCAGACTCGGCTTCTACATCAGGGTGCCCAGTACCAGGCCGCGCTCCTGCCCAAGCATGCAGGCGGCGAGAGCCAACCAAGATCAACGAAACAAAAGCAACAGCAAAAAGCAATGGTAAGCCTATATACCTGTCGGGAATCATTGGGAACCAAAGGTTAATTAACCGTTTTGGTTATATAGGGATTATATAGGGCCTTTGTCCCCAAAACAAGTTCAAGGCTACCTGCTCTACTACTAGGTAAGAAGAGCAACGGGCTAGGCAACGAAGAAAACACAAGGCAACGCTATAAATCACAATAGAAATGGCAATTTTCAAGGATACGGATTATAATGTTGAAGTACAGGAAGAACATGAAAACTAAGAACAATCGCCAACATAAACATGATGAACATGATACACACGGTAAAGAGAATCAGGTCCTCAAACAAATGTTCAAACTGTACTACGAAACTAGAAAGTACCATGACCAGACAACAAAGGGTAGCTCGAAGCATCACCCCGCCGACTAATCCCAAAACAAAACCCGGAACCCACCACAAGACCCGGAAATAGTGAGTGTAAACTGGAGTACCTGAAACTCAAGATTCGGTCCCCGAAAAATACGCATGCAGAGTTTAGCGACAGAGGTCCTGCTGGTCTAAGGACTTGAAGAGTTTCTCGAAGGCCGTCTTTTTGTCATCGATGGCGAAGGTCTGAAATGCACCCACCCACTCCTGGGAAAGGCGCAGGGAGCTCGGGGGACTATCGGGCGTGGCTTCACCCTCCAGAACCTCACCAAAACTCGAAATTTTGGAAATCCTTTTAAAAAGAAAGCAAAGCACCAACACGTTGAGGGTTTGGGGTTTAGGGTTTTGGCCTTCGGGTCTTCAAACAGATTGGACCCCCCATAGCTTCCTTCACGGTCCCTTCTTCTCCCTCCTACCTAGCAGGGACAAAACCCGCATGGCAGGACCTCGGGCTTAGGGTTGGGCCGTACGACGACGAGTCCATCCTCGAATCAGCTACCACCAGGAACTGCTGTGGGCATTTTGGGCTGCTAGATATTTCATGAAAGGGCTGTTGCTGCTAGGCTGCGTGGGACTCGGACAGGCCTCCAGCACGACACCAGACCCCAGAATCCTTAGACAAGTCTTCGCAGCCCTATCAACCCTGAACCGGAACCAGAATTTACCTTGACACAGCAAGACCCATGCCAGCTCGAGCTGAACACACGTGCCAGCAACGGGTTTTATGGGGTTGAAGGGCATGCCTGGAGAGTGGGGAAGTGCGGTTTCATTCCAAGTGTCCTCGGGGAATGTCACGCCACGGTAGAAGTTGGCGTCCAAGTCCTCTAATATGGGGGCACTAATAATTAGAATAGGGTTTGGGGTTACACTAAAGTATGTTTAAGGTCAGGGGCCCCAAGGATCGGAATAAACTCAGTAATTGGTGAGTCTTCTGTATAAGGTTGGGGATCGCGATATCAAGAATTCCTCAAGGATTGCACTGCAAGGCCACACGAGCTAGTTCCCTGGCCCCCAAAACTCTTTCTAGGACACGACGAAGCACGAAACCTATCAATGACCCTACATAGCCAAACTCAAGGACTAGCTTGACTGGTCCAGGCTGCCACCTGCCCCATCCTGGGCACGCAACCCTGAAGTACTGTTGGGGCCTCGATAAGTTCAAAAAGGCTTTGGGGCATAGTGCACTTATAAATTTTTTATTGGGGCCACAGGTGGGAACAAGATGAACACTTTTGGGACCACTGAATTTACTCCAGACATCTGAGCCTGAAACCGCTTGCCTGTCCCCGTCGCCCTGAGCCCTGAAACCTCGAACTCTCTCGACTCTTAGCCCTTAGTAACTTACTGACGATCGCCCCTTATGTTATTGGTCCCTCTATACTTATACTCGAAAATTCACCTCTTCCAATGCATTATTGAATAGCTCAAACAGGTTCAAAACTTTTGAGTAATTATACCATGCTACTTCATACTAGAAGTTTGGTAGACTGTAAGGGGCAAAGATGGGCTAATGATAGTGACTATGAGCCAGAAGACATACCCTGAACCCTAACCCTAAAACCCAATCTCCTATGACTAAACCTCTAAGCCCTAAATCTCTCAACCCTATGCCTAAACCTCTAAACCCCAAACCCTAAACCCTAAACCCTAAACCTCTAAACCCTAAACCCCGATCTCCTATGACTAAACCTCTATAAGCCCTAAACCTCTTAACTCTTTAAAAGCCATGAAGGCCCAGGCCTTGAGAACCTCCTGGCCGCCTTTTATCCTGTTTGAGATCGTGGGGTTGTTGATCAGGTCGATCAGGTGCCGCAAAAACCTCTTCGGCGTGAAGCTCGGGGGTTAGAGGCCTTTTTGAATTATAGGGTTTAGGGTTCGAAAACCTCTTCGGCTTAAAGCTCGGGTGTTACAAGGTTTTTTTTGATTGTAGGGTTTAGGGTTTAAAAAACCTGTTCGGCTTGAAGTTGCTTCATTTAACGCCCCTTTTGCGCCTCGGCGTAGAGCTTGGGTTTAGGGCTTCAGAATAGAATTCGGGAAAGTTGAAGCTTCAGGATGTGGCAGATAAGGTTGTTGATCCTTGCTTGGTGTCGGCACTATCACTGTCAGATGAATTGCTGTGGCGCTGCGTTTTGCGACCTACTTTATGTCCGTCGTTCGAGGCGCCCTCTTCCGGTAGAGACTCGGGCTACATTCGACCACGGAGAGCCAACTGAGCCAGGGCCAGTTGTTGAAGATGAGTTGCGTTCCTCCCAGATTTGGGAGTCCAGTTTCAAGGAGTCGTAGGCAAACACCACCCAAGGAAACAGACATCATCCCAATCCGGCTGGTGAGTAATTACTCACCGCGAAGCGCCAGCTCTGAATCATAGAACACCTAAACTGTAAACTCGAAATCTTAATGACTTCCGTCAATGTTGGACCACCCAGGCGAATGGGGCACAACGAACAATTCTAGCACAATGGCCGCATAGAGAGAGAGAGGGGCGTTCGGATGGTACAAGAGCCAACGATAACATAGGCGAGCATAGCAGACGAATCTCCCCGTCTTGGCACTTTCTGAATGTACAAGCAAGTGGCTCCACTCGTTCCTCTTGGTTTGCAGAGTTCCAGAGATGGACCAACCTGGCTCTACCGATTTGGGCTGTAGTGCTTCTGCTTTGTCTCCGTAGGGTTGGGGGGGGGGGAACGGAGTAGGGCTCAGCGTCTGGGGCTCAGGGCTTAAGGATAGGTTTTTGTATTATGGGCCAGGAACGGAGTTGGAATGAGTGTTTCTTCTGGAGGGCAGGGTTGGTGCAGCGTGTCGCGCCTGTGGCAAAAGGAAGACTTTCGATGCCATCGTCATCAAGTGTCCCTAAACCCTTACCCCCAATGTCTTCCGGCCTTGCTTCCGAAAACTAGACATATCTCCCATTCGAAAGCTAAACCCAGACTCAGACACGAAACTCGAAAGGCCCAAACTAGAAACTGCTAAGCGGTTATCGACCTAAATCCTGGATGCCAGTCCGTAAATGCTGCAGGGGCTGGGTTAGGCATGTAGGGTTTCGGTGATCAAAACCCCTATACGCTCTCGGGCTACGAACAAAATCCCTCCCAGAACAGCCGCTGTAGAATATTTCGTACCCCTGCAACCTACAAAATACAGAAAAAAACTAAGGCTTAAGGCCCTGCAAAACCAAAAACAAAAATCGAAGGCCGGCACAACCCTAAACCAAAACCTTTAGGGGCCCCTCCTTGGGCATGGGCGCAACCCCCGGAGCTTTGGCTTCGGCTGTTCACACTTTCCAAATTCCACCACAATATAGTCGCCTTAATTAATTATTAGAATAGCACTCGGGGGTATCTTCTCGTGTGCTTATGTTAGACTAAGGAACTCTCAGGAAAAACAATCAGCTGCAATTCTGAGCCTTTCTCTCAACCGATGAACCACGCAAAAGCTCACACCCTAATTTCTGGTTCCTGCCCGAAGCCCTTAACCCTAAACCGTAAACCATGAAACAAGAGCCGCCAAGCAGCGTCTGCATTCTCTGAGGTGCGGTCATCTTTGTCCTGGAAAGGTGTATGCTAGTCTTGGTACAAACGTGGAATTTCCAGAGATAAGGAGTGCGAAGCTTTGGATGGATTCTTTGCTCTAGAGATGTTGGACTCTCCCTGAAGTTTCATAAGTGTAGGTCCAAACGAGAACGCTTAAGTGTGTCAAGCATCCCTGCAATAGTGCCGAAGGTGTACACGTGTAACCCTTTTCGTATGTTGGGAGCCGACAGAGCACAGGATGCCATAATCAAAACTGTGCTCTCTGCATTCAGCATTCATACGACGGCTAACTGGAGGCATGATGAAGCTCCGCGCCTAGATGATCCTGGGGGCTTAGACAGTAGGCCATGCATCCAGTGGAAACGAAGCTAGATCCAACTGAGGGATGTATCCCAACATCATCTTATACTTGCAAGGGAGTTTCCGAAGATAGGGGACCCTAATATAGCACCGTCAATAGTAGGATCCTTATTACATGGACCATTCAATAAGGTACCCCTAATTTTCGGAAACTCCCATAGATCAGAGGCTTGGGATTGGGAACTTATCGTCTTCCCATAAGCTCCATAGTAGTCCATGCGGGGCTACACCCTAAGATTAGATTTCAATCCCCAAAACCCTAATCTTTGAGATCTTCACAGCCTACCCACGGGCTCCAGAGTAGTTCATTTTGGGAAAACCTGATAGGATTCTAAACATGAACCCCAAAAAGGAGCTACCATGGAGCCTCTAGGTACCTGCTAAGGCCTCCTCTGGGGCCGCCAGGGTAAGACGTTTGGTCCGAGAGACCGCCCTGAGAATTCCTTCGAAAGCCTTCGGATGATGGAGTTTAGGGATTCAAGGCTCAGGGTTCAGTGGTTTTAGGGTTTAGGGTTTAGGGTTCAGTGGTTTTAAGACAGGTTTTAGGAGATTAGGGGTCTAGGGCTGCCTTAAGGGTTTGAATGGTTGAACGGTTTCTCTAAACCCTCATCTAGGGTTCATGAATTTCAGAGGGCGGCAGAGCTTTCTACCCCCAAAAGCGGCTGAGTCTCTGATAGAAAGCCAGCCAATCCCCATCTGGCAGCTCTAGCTTCGGCACGTCGGTGAGAGGTCGACAGTGCCTCGGGTTTAGGGTTTAGGATTTTAGGGTTTAGGGGTTTACGCTCTCGCAACTCGGACAAGCCAGACGAGGTTCTTGGTTCGCGTAGGGCTTCGGCGCTACGTAGGGTTTCGGGTTTTAGAGTTTGGCGGGGGCAGATGCTGCAAGGCTTTAAACTTCACGGCCAATGCAGCAGGCAAAGCGCCGTGTATTTTGGTGGTTCTTAGTGGATACGACTGCAGGCAGGAATCCTTGGAAACTTGAAGAGGTTTGCAGGAGGCTTTGTTGTACAAGCCGTCCTGACGGAAACAGCCTAACAAAAACAAGAGCTGAAACCGAAATAGATGCGTGTGCATTTGTATATGTTTATTGCCTATGTATACATATATGTATATATATATACATACACACACACCAACACATAGTCATACATTGCATGTGCATATATATATATATATACACACACACACAAAAAAACACACACACACACACACACACACGTTCACCCCTCGACCTATCGATCGATCTACCTAACTATCTACTCATGCATCCAACATCCATCTCTATTTAAAATTTATCTCTATCTCTATGTAATTATGTATGTATATGTATTTAGGTATCTATTTGTCTATCTATCTACCTATCCATCTATCTATCAACATGCGTATTTTTTACATGTATACACACAGATATGTATATATATATATATAGAGAGAGAGAGAATATATTTATATGCAACTGTATTTACTCTATCTATTTTACGGCTGCGAAGCCGAGATGCTCTTCCGGGAGCTGCGCCGGCACCTCAGGAGCCACCTCGGGCACCGGCTGCGGCGGAGGTCTCCTTGGCTGGGTACAAGCTTTGACGTTTAGGTATAGGGTTTCTTCTTTCGAAGAGTGGAGGGGGCTCCTTTTTCCAACTGCAGGACTCCACAGGTAGAAGGCCATTCGGCCAGCAGATGTAGGTATAGGGGTTTAATATAGGGGCCTGCATAATTGGAATAGGGGCTCTGGGGCCAATTACACTATAAGTATAATAAGGAAGCCCCAAAATAGTATTGGTAATTGTTTAGGCCCCTGGATTAGCAGGTTAGGGATGTTAGGGCTTCTGGGTTTAGGGCTTAGGAATTCGGGGTTACAAGGTTTAGGGTTCAGGGGTTGAGGGTTCAGGGTGAGGGGGTTTCGGCGCTCACACTCGGACAATCCACGTGTGGCATATGGTGCGGACAGCACTATCTGGGAGTGTCATGATAACAATGAGCAACTAACAATTTCAGGAGCTGCGCCCTCACTCCCCTCTCAGGATGTAGGGGTTTGTCACTGTTTCGACAACATCATACGGAGTTTGATGTTCAGTACCCGGACCCCCGAAACCAAGCCAAGACTTGCACATGCAGCATTTCCAAACAAACACTCTATTCACGTCTTATAGGGACCTTACTCACTCGCCTCAATCATCAGAATGCGCTTTTGGCTGGCATTATCTGCAAACATTGTGTGTATACTCTGTATGTATCTATATGCATATATGTATGTATGTATGTGTGAATGTACAAAAACATACATATTACTCTTATATATGGATGGCCCACAACTTCCACAAGGTGATAGTGCTTGGGGCTTGCAACGGCCTTAACCCAGAACCCGTCCCAAAAATCCCAGCTCGAAAATCAAAATCCCACGGGGTGAACCCCAGTAAGTTGGAACATGTATACTTTTACGATTCATGCTGGGATCCCGATACTTTACCTTAAGGGCATGAGGATATCCTTTTGCTGCAGGCTTGCTTGCAAGGATGCCTGGTAGTTTGCCGCTCTTCCGCCAGTTAGGACTGTACTCGCTTAAACTCCGAACAATAATAATAGTAGTAACAACTAATTATAGTAATAATAGTAATAACTAAACCGTCTTCCAACTTTCTGGCTTCCACCTTATGCCTGTTTGTTTCGCGAGTGTCTTTGGCGGCTCGTCGTCCGAATCCTGAGTTAGGCTTAGGGGTTTAGAGCTCGGGGGTTTAGAGCTCAAGGCTTTTTTTCGTCCTACCTACCTAGCAAGGACGAAGCCCGCATTGCAGGGCTTTAGGGGTCTAGGTTTATAGGGTTTACTGGTCTAGGGGTTCAGGGGTTTAGGGTGTTTTGGCCCAGTGCTTTGGCTGCGAGTCGGGTGTGTGAGGTGTTTCTTTGCCTCTAAGTGTGTTTTCGTGCGTGCAACGATTAGGTTTAGATGCTGCCCTGAATACACATATGTGTGCTATGTGTTTGGGTTTGGGGAATCAGGTCAGTCTTCAAATGTTAGGCTTCTTCTTGGCTCCCGCAAACAATACACCAGTCTGGAAAAGCATCCGGAGAGGAAGTTAGAGAATCCCCCCGACATGTCTGAGGCCTGCGAGTAGGGTCTTTTGCAACGATAGGCTATGTTTGGTGTTCAGGAGTTGGGGTTTCCGTAAGCTTAGTGTGTTTGGGTCCAGGACTGGTCGCATAGTGTTTGATACCACCAACATGCGGCATGAGGCTTCGGAGTAGGACTAGCGCAAAGCTATGGGGCTACAGGACTTGAGGGGCTTCGGGGTTCACTTTTTTGGATTCGGGTTCCCGCTTGCCGGCTCATCCCGAGACCCATTATGTAAACCTGAAGGCCGATATGGGCCAGAGGGTCCAGCGTTTCTCAAGAGCCGAAAGCGACACTGGAACATAGTAGCTGAAGGGGTTTGGGGCTTTAGGGGTTTTAGTTTTCGCTTTTTCTGCCGTTTGACCCCTCTTCTCCGTCTGCGGAGTACCTATGGTTTTCGGATCCAGGAGCAAAGCAGGCCCCAGAAATCCAACGAGAACCACGGTTTCGGGCTTAGGGTTTTGGGGTTCCCGATACCATCGAAGCTAAACTGGCAAAAAGGCCCACCCTCGCCGAGCCTGCGCATGAAAAAAACCTCATGTGCCGATGCTTTTGATTGTATCTCTTGTACAATCGCTTCTCGACGAACCTCAGAACCACCTCTGGTGCCAAACCCTGACCCCTCAACCGAAGCCCAAGCAACAAGAATAACCAAACCCTTAACCTAGACACCAATGGGCCGCTGGCCCCTGCTGTCCCTAAGCCCTGAACCCTACACCCTAATCCTTAAAACTATGCGCCTCGATCTTGTCGAACTTCGAGTAGTCGATGCCCGGCATCTTCGATAGCCTTCAGCTGTTTTTTCAAAAAGTGACCTTTTTCAAAGGATCCCAAGCTCTAAAACCCTGAAACTCCCCCCCCGGAGCTCCCTAAACCCGAAGAAAACATCCTACGAAGGGCCTAAGACAACCGGGTTCTTAAGAGATCCATCCTGAGGATGAATTACCGGGTCGGCAAAGCTCCGCTGAAAGTTCTTCAGGACATTAGGAGTTCCAGGTTTCTGCCTGGTGCAGGGATTAGGATTCACAGTTGGAGGGTGGTGCCTTACGGGTGATTTTGTCCGGCGGCCAAGTAACCATCCGCAGATCAGGTAGATTTCAGCAGGCTGAAGCGCCACTCGCACGGGTCGTTCAAGATTCGGGCTCCCTTGATGCTAGGGTACTACGGAAACACGAGTCAAGATGGAGGCTGACAGGACCATAGCTTCCCGCAAAAACACTGGAAACTTCTGATTCAAGACCCCACTCGTACTAAAATACTACTCAAGCCAAGGCACTGGGCAGTGGCTTCAGAGCACCAGTCCTGCTTTTGTGCGGACACTGGCGGCCCCTCTGAGCCCAGGCACTGCGGACGCAAGTGAGGGGCTTGGGGCGTAGGTTCGGATGTTTCCCGGGGTCTGCGAACTGCATAACGCGATACTCAAATCGCTCAGGTTTTCTGCATCTTCGCATGAACCCAAGGGTCCAAAGGACCCATTCAATAATTAGGTACTCGGTTTTAGGATAGTAGCTATGTAGGTTAGAATTTTGAAGAGTTGTTGATTGTTGGGTACTTGGACCCTTGGGGGAAGCTTTCCGAGATGCGGGCACCATCAAAGGGCACGTAGATGCTGACGAAGCGGTCGCTCTGATCCTCAGAAGGTTCCATGCGGGCTACTACTGCTCCTCCTCCGACTCCTGCCGCTGCTGCTGCTGCTACGGCCACTGCTTCTTCTATATATACTTATGATTGTACAAATGCTGCAGCTGTGGTTGCTATCACTATCACCACCACGACCACCAGTACCACCGCGGTTTCTGCCACTGCTACTGCTGCTGCCACTGCGGCTACGGCAATTGCTACTGCACCACCGCCCACCGCCACCACGACTGCCGCTGCGACTACGACTGCGACCAGAACCAGGGCGACGACGAAAACTTCTGCCGCTACGCCGCTACAACGAGGACCATCTCACCCTCAACCTCGAACAGAGTCATGTAAGGCCGCTGCCCAGGAGAATCTGGAGATCTTTGTGGACATCTGCAGTGGATCAGCTGTTTGCAACGGATCAAAGGAACCCAGACCGCCAAAACGCCTACAAATTCTTCCAGGCATGCGTCTCGAGTCATGGGTAAGACTCCCTCCGGCTCTTGGGAAGCATGACAGCTCGCAGGCATTGTATTGGGGCTTGAAAAACTCCAGGCACGGCCTGATGTAGGATATCTTGCGTTGGATTGTCAGGGTTTTGTTTGGGAGCTCATTTGCGCACTTGGCTCTGCATTCTGCGCTTCAGTCGCGATAGTTTTCAAAGCCCAAATCCCCAACCCTACACACTCGTTCTTGAACTCTCCTCGCATAGAGGTATTGGTGTTGCTGTATTTACTTGGCAAGTCCTAGATCTCCAGGAAATTCAGGATTTCGTGGGTTTCGGGGTGTAAGTGGCTTGGGCGAACATCTAGTTGTTGATGTTTTTTTTTTTTTTTTTTGTTGTTGTTGTTGTTGTTGTTGTTGTTGTTGTTGTTGTTGCTGTTGTTGTTGTTGTTGTTGGTGTTGTTGTTGTTGTTGTTGTTGTTGTTGTTGTTGTTGTTGTTGTTGTTGTTGTTGTTGTTGTTGTTGTTGTTGTTGTTGTTGTTGTTGTTGTTCTTGTTGCTGCTGCTGATGCTGTTGCTGTCGCTGTCGATGTCCTTGTCCTTGTCCTTGTCGTTGTTGTTGTCGTCGTTGTTGGTGGTTGTGGTTGTGGTTGTGGTTGTGGTTGTGGTTGTGGTAAGCCTCTCGGCTCAGGAAAGGTCAGGCTAGTACAGTTGCCTTTTTCCTTTCTTGCCATGGCATTTGTCAGCGCCTGAGCAGTCCCGGTCCCAAGTCCGGGAGGGAGTATTAGATTTACAGCTCTCTAACATCTCCCAGAGGTGAGGGTTGTCGGTATTGCGAAGCCGACAGGAGCCGTACTCAACATGAGTGCTGCGAAACAGCCTAGTGGTGCGACCAAGCATCAGCCCGTTCCTAAAGGGAAGGGTAAACGCTCTTATCAAAGGGCAGCACGTAAAGCTCTGCTTGAAGGTAGTGCGGTCTACAAGGGAAGGACGATGTCGTCAACAGAGCTTGGAGTTGCTCCGGCACATGTAAAGCCCACCAATCCCGGCAGAGGGACTCGGCCTTCAAAATTTACAGAAGATAAGAATCTCAGCTATCTATCCTGGAACGCAGGATCTCTCACAACCGCAGTTTGGGAAGAGTTACTCTCCGTACTGCAAAGTGCCGCATTTCAGGATGTGAAGCTGGTAGCAATTCAGGAAACACACTGGAGGGGCTCATGGCAATTCAGCAAGTCAGGTTGGCACGTGATCAGCTCTGGCTCCACAGGGGAGAAGGGAGCCGGGGTCCTCATAATGGTGCACTCCACGCTGTGCAAGTCACAGGATCTTCGCTACAACGAGGTTGTTCCAGGAAGAGTTCTCCAGGTCCGGGTGCCGAGCAACGGCATCGCACTGGACGTCTTCAGCTGCTATCAATACGTTTGGCGCTCTAAGGAGACAGTCGCTCAGAATAAGGAAACCCGGAAGCAGACCCTTCACGCCCTAAGTAAGTCCATCCGAGCTGTTCCCAATCGCAACACGCTCCTTGTGCTAGGAGATTTTAACTCCTCGCTCAAGACCGACAACAAACACGTAGGGCCATGCACGATCCAGGCTTGCAGACTCGGGCATCGCGGATCTAAGGATCTCCAGACCCTACTGTCGGAGCAGCAGCTAGTCGCAACCAACACTTGGGGAGTGCATAGACCAGCCACCCACGAACAAGGCAACTCTGTTTCACAGATTGACTTCTCGTTTGTCAGGATTGCACAGTCCCAAGGCCCTGCCAGGTTTTGCCGGCCACTAAGGACCTTCCCAGTGGCATCATGGAGGGATGGTAGTAGGCATTTCCCCCTTCTTGGTAAACTGAGGCACAGCAGGAGATACTCCGCCCAAGCCTCAAAACCCTATGACCAGCAGGCAATGGAGGACTGCTACAGACACCGTTCCCCGAAAATACAGGCATTTGCCAGGGAGGTAGACTCCCTACTTCAGGATCATCCCCAAACCTGGCAGAGTCTCCATCAAGCAATGAACTCAGCCCTCGCGACTCACTTTCCCAAGAGAAAGGGAGCAGCACACAGAACAGATCTCAGCATTTGGGCAGAGCGCACAGTGTTGCGCTCACTCCCAATGTCAGTCAAGGTCTTAGCAGAGTTCTTGCCGGAGTTGCAGGTCCGAATGGTATTTCGCTGCTGGCTGTCGCTGTCTCAGCAAAGTGCACAGGCGAGGGTAGCAAAGCGGCAGAAGCAGGAAAGGCGACGACAGGAAATAGATGAACAACTCGAGCAGGCAGAGCTTAAATCCAAGCAAGACGGGAGTCATTCCCTCTACAAGGTGATCAAGCGCTTCCGGTCGGGGAGGCCTCAGGAAAGAGTTCAGCTACGTGACTCAGAGGGTCGCTTCCTAACAGCCAAGGAAGAACGTAGACAATTAGAGGAATACTCCATTGAACTGTTTGGAGCAGGGGACGACTTCCCGCTCACAGGGATACAAGGCAGCCTGCACATCACCGAGCAAGAAGTTCAAGAACAGCTAGGCACTATAAAGCTTGGCAAAGCAGTTCCTAAAGAAAGTCCTCCCATAGTAGCTTGGCGCTCCCTAGGCCCCAACGCTATTCGGCTCATCTCAGACGCTCTCAATAGGGAAGTCACTGCAGGAAGGCTTTCGGACAGCATCACCTCGTCACAGATCTCTTGGCTCCCAAAGCCCCCCAAGAAGCCAGATAAGCCAACATCACTCCGTCCGATCGGGGTGATAGCACCTGAGGGCAAGGTCCTGGCAGGACTTGTGAGGCAGAGACTCAAGTCCACCCTCCATCAAGCAATGCAAGGAGTCTCTCAGTTTGGCTTCGTACCAGGTAGGGGCACAGAGGAGGCGATCTGCAAGGCCCTCACACATGTGGATCAGGCCAGGTTCAGGCAGGCCCTTACAACTAGAGCGGCTGGTAAGGGACAACAGGGGCTCAAGCTCAGGGGCAGTCTCACGATGAGCGTTGACATGAGCAAAGCTTTTGACACTGTGGACAGGCTACGATTAAGAGAAGCCCTGGAAGCTGAACAAGCAGACCCTCTTCTTATAGAGGTGGTGGGCCATCTCCACATCAAAGCCTTGTACAAGATGACAGCCAGCGATCAGAGCTTTGAGATAGCCACACGCAGGGGAATCAAGCAGGGATGCAAGCTTGCACCTTCCCTATTCGCCTTTGCATCCGGGCTTCTCTTTAGGAAGCTCTCTGGAAAAATCAGCCCCCCCGAACTAGTTAAACTTCTCACCATGTATGCGGATGATAGCTTGATTCAGTCGCATTTCGAGTCTGAGTCTGGCCTCATTACAGCACTAGGGTACTGCGACCTTCTTCTGGATCAATTGGTTGAACTTGGGTTCAAGGTCAATCCGTCCAAGTCAGCAATACTGCTGCAGCTACAAGGAGGTTCAGCCTCGACAATTAGGAAAAAGCTATTTCGCCAGGTAGATGGAGAGAAGTTTGTGGAACTCCCTTCGGGCAAGTTGATATCGCTGCGGTACCAGGTCCCATACCTGGGGGTCATTCTTTCTTATCATGACTACGAAATGAAGACCCTTAAACATCGGCTGTCATCTAGTAAGCTAGCAATGTCAGAAGTCGCCCATGCAGTTAGGAACCATCGAGTCCTATCAGACAGACGTCGTCTGTCAATTTGGACAATAACTGCGTGGGCCTCTGCTCTGTATGCCCTTCACGTGGT